AAATACTTTTTCACACACAACCCAGTTCTGCGGAATCAGAATCAACGTTGAGTTTAAGCAAGTGAATGAGCCAATTGGAGATTTAAATTTTTCCCACTTGTGGCGAATGCAGCTATCGATTTTTTTTTTTTTTGCATGCTGGCATGCTAGTTAACATTCATGTCAGTCAGCTGTTAGCTCTCACGCTGGCCAATAGAATCTTCCTGCCTATTCGTGGCAGTCAGGTATAGGCTCTCACTCTGTCCAATACAGAATGGCCGCAAACTACATGAAAACTGCCTTAGAAGCATAAAAAAATCGATTAATTCAACTATCGATGGAAGTTGGGAAATGCAAAGTCGGTCTTGGCCTTCCCGCTAACTAGGAGCATGTGCATGTAAATTTTGGTACAAATCCGTCGAAAATTGCAGCCATGCATTCGTAACACACACACATCCTGCCTTTTATAGATAGAGATAACGTTTTGTTCCAGATTAATGGGAAACGTAGGTATATGTGTAATTACTAATATATATATATATATATATATATATATATATATATATATATATATATATATATATATACGCAAGTATAAAAACTACATTCTCAACTGTAAAACTTGACAATTGTTTACCTATAGACTCTAGTATAAACCTGGCGATTTTTTTTACTCACAAACTAAATTATAAACTGATCAATGTTCACCTATAGACTCTAGTATAAACTCGATCAACGTGTTTCTACAGACTCTTATTAAAACCTTACAAATTTTTACCAATATACTCAATTAGAGAACTGAGCAATATTTGCTCTCAGCCTCAATATAAATATGACCAATATTTATCTACAAGCTGAAACATAAGCACAAATTAGTGTCGTAAAACCCGTTCTAAATAGGAACGTTTCCTTCATAGACTTTGTGAATGCCAAAAAACATGACACTTACCATTGCATAAACATTACTAGTTTGCACAGGTTGAATCCGTAGCCTAATGCAGTATATTCCATGCTTAAAATAGACTGTGTAGCGCCTATCTTTCACGGTCCTATGTCTGTCTTCTTCGGATCAGGTGAGGTGAGGCGCAGTATCTGATGCCGTGGGGCCAATATCGCGTTGTTCGGCAACTACGGAACGCCATGGAAAGCATAGCATTAATTGGTGAACTGAGCGACAGCAACAGTAAACTGGGGGTGGGTGGATTAATATCCAATGTTCCCCTTCATTGCCATATCACCATCGTTGTGAATTACCGGAAGATCCGTGTTTTCATATCAACACCGGGAGAGCCGCAGCTTTCACGTGCCACTAATATTTAGCCAGAATTTACATATTCCTGAAATAAAAAAAAATACGAATTTGCCCAAGAAAAATGTTACCATCCTGTCTGAGCCACAGTTACACTACATCCTTACCTATTACGTCATACATACATCACCCGTAACGAAAATCCGGACTCTAATTTCCACTGTAGACTCATGCTCTCCAGCACGTAGTCGAGTGGTTAGGATGTTCTCATTCTGACCATGAGACCCGGGTTCGAATCTGACCATGGTCGATTTGTCTGGAAAGAGACTCCCAGATGTTTTCGGAATGGAGGGATCGGTCCCAGCGTGCAGCACCTTTGGAAAGTGTCTGAAAACCATACGACGTGTGGACCCAAGCCTTGTAAGTGAAATTGAGTAAACGAAACCCTTGGAAGATGTCGATAGCTGTGCTAGCACGAAGTCACAAGTCATCCTGGCTGAGGGTTTGAGCGTGCTGGCCTTATTCAAATTGTTGATCACGCTAGATCTCAGAAACTGTGATTAAGGCTGCTCAGCATAGCTGTAGTATAAACCACGGTGAGCTCTGTGGGTTTTGAACGAACACAAATGCGCCTGAGCGAGTGTCTGCAATAAGGATTGGCTAGGCGCCCTAGCTATAGAATGCTCTCGGAAAATGTAAGAATACTCTTCATCGCATTTTTTCCTATAGAAATATTTTTTCATAAAAAATCTGTTCAAGAACAGAGACGAAAAAGATCACAGACATAAGAGTTGAGACATAACGCTTGTATAGGTGTTGCTACATGACATAGCAGGTTCCGGTGGTATGTACTACGGATTCAAATCTCGACTGGCGTTTACTTTTTGCCGAATTTTTAAAATTCATATTAACATTTTATTATTTTTTTTAGATATAATATCACCTGAAGGTATCTTAAAAATTAATTGAAATTACCGCAGACATCAGGAAAGGTTTATCTTAGTGGAATCAATATGCGCAATCAGGTCGGCAAATTCCCAATTCTTGTTTTATAACAAATATCGATATAAATGAATAATGATTTATGGATGATGTAAGATACAATAAATTATCAAGTTTCAGATTTTATGTCCATTTTTGTACCACTGGGGAATCAAAAAAATGTTTTCACATAAAGAATAACCCTTAGCCTACGTTAACATATACTCCTCTGTAGAGTATAATGCCACAGCCTCGCTACGCTTGTACCTTAGTCTCACTACATAGATACTGCTACTGTGGTTTCTATAGCCACTAGTTTTTTTATGTCTTTGTATTAGAGTTACCAGCTCCACGTCCTATCGGTTTTGAATTCAAGGTTGTTCTTCTACTAGGAAGGTTGCCAACCAAGGATAGAGTGTACAGTCTGTTATTTAACCCACTGGAGAGAAAGAGAAGATATTCTGTTGTAACTAAGTAAATGGTTTAAGAAATAGCAAAACAAGTGTTACAGATATATATATATATATATTAAACAGTAAATACACCTGAAGAGTATTACACGATTAGTGAGTGGGTGTCGGTTGACCAGCGTTCAATCTATTAGACTGTTAATATTTAACACCCCCACCGAGTGATGTATGTGGCACAAGGCTGAGTTTACCCTGGGTTCTACGAGCCCTTAGGCTCAGACAAAGATATTCCCTTAGAACCCGCATAAACGGGTTCAGGGCCTGTCTACCTCCCCGGACGAAACTTTGCCCTACGGCAAAGCCTCGTCCGGGTTCCTCTCTGCTCGAGACAGAGAGTTCGACAGTTGAACAATCTGCTCGACTGTTAATATTTAACAGCCCACCCCCAAGAGGGATGTATGCGGCACAAGGCCGAGTTTACTGTGGATTCTCCGAGCCTGTAGGCTCGACCAAAAATATTCCCGAACCGAAACTTACAAATCTCGATTTATTAATATGAGCGGAGGGTGAAAAGTTATTAGGCTACCTCTGAATGAGTGAATCTAGAGCTGTGAAACCTTCCATGCGTTAATTTCAACTCTTCTTTTTAATTACTGCATTGTTTCTTTCCAGCTAAACAGATATCTAATTGTTCAAAGACTTTAAATATAACTAGTAGCGACTTCACTTGAAAATGGACAAAATTTGGCATTGCAGTGTTATCAAGTACCCACAGAAAAATGATTTATCCCTCAAAGACATGCATGCTGACATGGTTGCTACATTAGGGGATAATGCTCCAGCTTTATCAACAGTGCAAAAGTGGGCAGCTTATTTTAACAAGTGATTGACTCTAAATCAAATAGCCATTGACATTAGCATATCCCGTGAGGGAGTTGAGAATATTCTGCACAATGCACAATGAACTAAGGGCATAACAGAGGTTTCAGCGTCCTCTGACACCTGATCAAAAGTACGCCAGGCTGATCACATCACGGGAAAATCTGACATTGTTTGAAGCATATCCAGTTGGTTTCATTGAATGTTTTCTAACCCAGGATAAGTGATGGGTTCATCACTTTAAGCCAGAAACAAAGAGACAGTCCATACAGGGGAAACACCCACTCCTCACTTGCTCCAAAGAAGGCTAAGATTGTTTCATCTGCAAGGAAGGGATGTAAAAGTCATTGTGTTTATTGACTACTTTTAAAAGAGGCACACTATCAATGGAGAGTACTGTGTCAATTTGCTGGAGCAGTTACGAAAGGCTATCAAGACTAAACACCTAGAAAAACTGACAAAAAGTGTTTTGTTTCATTAGGCCAATACTCTAGCACACAAGTCCTTGGTTTCAGTGTCTGCTGCATTGTGACGGTGGATTTGAACTACTTTATCCTCCCTCCCTATTCTCCTGATTTGATTTTTATCCATTCCTCAATATGAAAAAATACTTGACTGGGAACCAGTATTGCAGTATTGATGTCATATATATATGTCTTCTTTACAGTCAGATGTCAGTTTATCTGGAAGGAAACAATACAGTTATTAATTGGCACGATGAAGGTTTCTGCTTGGTGAGTACCACGTCTTCTGAAACCTGGCCAAGCTATTGTGTTTAGTGACTCTTTTCAATAAGGCCACATCATCAATGGAGAGCGCTCTGCCAACATGCTGTGGCAATTATGAAAGACCAACTGTACAGAAAAACTGGCGAAAGGGATCTCGATTCACCAGGACAATGCCCCAGTATACAAGTCCTTGGTTTCAATGGCTGCAGTGGGTGATTGTCGCTTTGAACTGATTGATTACCCTCCCTATTCTCCTGATTTGGCCCCATTCTGACTATCATCTGTTCTCCAACATGAAAAAAAAAACCGGTTGGGATCATGATGTCACATCTGATGTTGATGACTTTTTTGACCAATAGGGTGGAAACTTCTTCACCAATCGGATCCAGGCACTGCAACACCAATGGAAGAAGTGCGTGAAATGTAGTCGAGGGGGGGGGGTCTATGTTGGAATATAAACCTCATTTGGTCGTATTCTAGAAGAGTATCTTGGTGAGTCTGTGAACTATTCAACCGTTTCCTTGTCTGTATTCATATGTATTTTCAGTTAAGTCCAAAAGGGAACTCGGTTTGTTTGCGTATGTAAAATTAAGACAACAATAGTTAAATGTAATTAAGGCAACATGTGGGTTCATCGCTCAACAATGGATACAAAATCTTTTTTATTATCACTACTATCTTGGTGGGGTTCTGCAACTAGTGTAACAGATAACAGTGCTGAAATTTTGAGTTCAAATTCCACCCTATCCTGGTGTGTCAACGTTCACACAAATGCTCTTTGGAAAGACCAGTTATCTTACGATCACCGAAGTTAAGCAACGTTGAGCCTGGTCATTACCTAGATGGGTGACAACTTGGGAATGCCAGGTAGTGTAAGCTTGGGTGTGCAGGTGGTGTAATGGATAATGGCTCGCAGTTATAAATCGGAGAGCTGAGTTCCAATTCCAGTCGGGTTCCTTATATTCAGTTATGCACCAATACCCCTGGGAAATCTATCTATGAATCCACCTCTTCTTTCCCGAGATATGGGTTAAATAGTACGACTTGAATCTGTAAATCACTATCATCTCCCAAATACTTCTAAAAATATTTTCTGGCTTTAAATAACCTGCAAAACGTTGATACGCCGTAAAAAGCAAATCAATCTTTGGAATGGCATGAATTCATCTTTTTGCCCAACTAGCTATGTGTTAAATAATAGGGTAGATTGGGCCTTGTAGCCTTTGTTGGCACCAGTCTACGAGAAGGAAAAATCTGTATTCCAAATCATGGAAAAGGCAACGGAAAACCACTACACTATCTTTCCGAAATAGGTATGGTAATCACCATATAATAAAGAAAAAAACGTTGTGGAGAGCCATAGTCCTTAAGAGACATGGTATAAAAACAACAAAAATGGTTATCTCGGCAGTAAATTATGAGAAATAGTGTGCTCACATAACCATCTTCTTGTCCTGTACCCAACGTGATATTTCAATTTCGTTTATGTCAAAATATCTGGTGTTATAACAGACCACAGGGAAAGTAGTCTCATGCCTTTTGAACTCTTTAGTTTCTGTTGTCTTCAGCAGGAAATCGTTATGTGACCTCGCATACAGCGACAAAACAGATACTACAACTTAATCTTTAGGGAGGGAAATATGTTAGAGAAGTGAATTCTTAGAATCTGGAAACACTTTGTCTAAATTACAATTTTCGCATATTCGTTTGTTTTTAGGAAATATATATATATATATTTTTAGAAATGCTTGTATTTTTGTAAGCGTGTGTGCGTATATTAATCCAGAAAGTCAGTGCCTGTGTTTGTGTGCGTGTTTCTGTAGGTGCGTTAATATATGTATGTATCAAAATATATATATATATATAAATATATATATATATATGTGTGTGTGTGTGTGTATTTATACATGTACAACAATGTCTGTATATATATATATATATATATATATATATATATATGAACCATTTGTGTGCGTGTGCGTGTGTGTGGTTATGTCCCTTGTAAGCAAGAACTGTGTAGCAGCGACAAACGAGTCCCAGACTTGTTAAGGTGACGGCGGACTATGCGTCGTTAAGATGACGTCAGACTCTGACTCACATCACGTGACCATGGGCGAGGTTTGTTGGGTGAGAAAGTGATGTCATCGAGGGTCCTCTCTCTCTCTCTCTTTCTGCATATATATATATATATATATATATATATATATATATATATATATATATATATATATATATATATATATATATATATATATATATGTGTGTGTGTGTGTGTGTGTGTACACAGAGAAAAGAGAGAGGAGGGAGGAGAGGGAATGATTTTTCTCTGTCTTTTTCATTTTATTTCTCTTAGCTTTTCTCTCTTTGTTATATTTTCTTTCCTTCTTTCTCTATTTTATCAATTTCAATTTTCTTTTTCTTTCCTTTTTTTTACACTTTTTTTTCAATTTCTTTTAATTTAATTGTCACTTCTTTTTCTTTTTCTTTCTTTCTTTCTTTCTTTCTTTCTTTCGTTTCTTCTTAGCTTACTTAATTCTTTCTTTTTTAAAGTTTTTTCTTTTTATTTCTTTTTGTTAAATTTTTCTTTATCTTTTTTCGTTTTAAGTTTCTTAATCTATCGTCAATTTTTTTCATGTTTCTTGATTTTTTTCTTTTTTAAGATGTTTTTTCTTGCTTTCTTTTCTTTCTTTTTTCTTTCTAAGTTCTTTTTTTTAAGTTTCCCTTTCTTCCTTTCCTTTATTTATATTATTTTCTTTTCCCGTTTTTCTTTTTTAGTTTTTTGATATTTTCTTTCATGTATTTTTTCTTTTCTACTTGTTGCTCTTTTCTTTCTTGCTTGTTTAATCAAAATTTCTTCCCTTGACAAATTTTCATACACATTTCCCCCTCCACAACGTTTTTCGCTTTTAACGATTCTTTCTTTTTTCTTTTTACCATTTTTCTTTCTTCTCTCCATTTCTTTCTTTCTTTCTTTCTTTCTTTCTTTCTTTCTTTCTTCCGTCCATTTCTTCCCTTCTACCCTGTCTTCCTTTCTTTCTTTTCTCCATTTTTTTCTTTCTTTCTTTCCTCCCAGACTTTGTTCGTTTGTTTGTTTATTTATTTCTTTCTTTCTTCACCCCCAGCCTTTCTTACTCTTTCTTTCTTTCTTTCTTTCTTTCTTTCTTTCTTTCTTTCTTTCTTTCTTTCTTTCTTTCTTTCTTTCGTCCATTTCTTCCCTCCCAATCGGTCTTTCTTTCTTTCTATCTGTTTTTCTTTCTTTTTTTCTTTTCTTCATTTCTTTCTTTCTTTCTTACCTGCATTTCTTTCTTTCTTTTTTCTTTCTTTCTTTCTTTCTTTCTTTCTTTTTCTTTTCTTTCTTCCAGCCTTTGTTTGTTTGTTTGTTTCTTTCTTTCTTACCTGCATTTCTTTCTTTCTTTTTCACTACCAGCCTTTCTTTCTTTCTTTCTTTCTTTCTTTCTTTCTTTCTTTCTTTCTTTCTTTCTTTCTTTCTTCATCCCCAGCCTTTCTTACTGTTTCTTTCTTTCTTTCTTTATTTCTTTCTTTCTTTCTTTCTTTCGTTTTCTTTGTTTTTTTTTTTTTGTTTGTTTGTTCCTTCCTTTCTTTCTTTCTTTCTTTCTTATCTGCATTTTTTCTTTCTTTTTCTTTACCAGCCTTTCTTTACTTTTCCTTTCTTTTTTTTTCTTTTTTCTTTTCTTTCTTTCTTTCTTTCTTTCTTTCTTTCTTTCTACCAGCCTTTCTTTCTTTTTCCTTTCTTTCTTTCTTTTTCTTTTTTTTTTGTTTCTTTCTTTCTTTTTTCTTTCTTTCCTGCATTTTTGTTTTTCACTACCAGCCTTTCTTACTTTTCCTTTCTTTCTTTCTTTCTTTCTTTCTTTCTTTTCTTTCTTTCTTTCTTTTACCTACCATTTCTTTCTTTTTTTTCACTTTTTTCCTTTCTTTCTTTCTTTTCCTTTCTTTCTTTCTTTCTTTCTTTCTTTCTTTCTTTCTTTCTTTCTTTCTTTCTTTCCTACATTTCTTTCTTTCTTTTTCACTACCAGCCTTTCTTACTTTTCCTTACTTTTCTTTTCTTTCTTTCTTTCTTTCTTTCTTTCTTTCTCATTTTGTATTTATTTCTCTTCATCTCTTTATCATTCTTCCTCTTCTTTGTTAATATCTCTCTTTTTCTTCTTCTCATTCTTTGATATGTTTTATACCTTTCAATTCTGCTTTTCCGTCGCCGTTTTGACTTCAGCGTCTTCTTCCTGTCGTCTGCTCTTTCCACTAATGTTGTACACTTCTTATGTGGACAGCAATTGAGACACAAAAACATTTTTTCTTTTTCTTTTTTCTTTCTTTCTTTCTTTCTTTTTTTTTTTTTTGACTTTTCTCTTTTTCTCATTTCCCATGATTCACTCCATGTCCTTCAGTTATCTCCCTTTCTACATGTACACGCGCATGCGCAAAAAGTCTACTTTTGATACATTGATGCTTACGGATCAGTTTACTTGTCTTCAGTTTATGTTAAAGTTTAGCTTAGTCTGGAACAAGGTCATTGGTAGCTGAGCATATAATAAGAACGGAAATCCCTGAGTGGTCGTGTGTTAACTGATCACTGACCATAACAGGCTGTCAAACATTTAAGAGGTCAGATCCTTACTAACCTTTACTTGTTCTTGCATAAAGCCATAAATGTAGGTCACTTAATATTATATTATTTGCATTTTAGGCTGTCCTTTTTGCTATTAGATTTAAATTATGACTATCTCCTTATTTATTTCTAATTTTAGGAAAATACCAAAAATAATGGGAGTAAAACAAAGAAAAAGGGTTAAATAATTTATGTGCTGTGTCTCCTCAGGGCGTAGGCGATCATGGCCCTCCACAACTTCTTGTCCCTTGTAGCTATTAATAAAATTTTGTTTTAAATTTTTCGATTTACTTCATAAGAAAATAATTAAAAACAAGAGTGTTTTATTGAATTATTTTAAGTCAATTTTCTTTATTAATAAATAAATTTCTTTGCGATTTAAAAACAAAAACATTGATATTTTACATAATGCTTTTTCAAATGCTTTATTTCAAATGCTTCATTTGAAGAAAGGTTTTAATCCTTAATAAATTACTTTTATTCGGTTATAAAAAAAAAGTTGTGTTTTTTCTGGTGCTGAGTTTTCTCGGTCGTGAGTTGTCCCGGCGCTCAGTCGGCGGTGTTGAGTCAGCGGTGTTGAGTCGGCGTTGTTGAGCCGGCGGTGTTGAATTATCCCTTCTAGATATGAAGCTCATTTTGGTTAAGAGTTTTAGGGTCGATTAAACCCTATCTTCTTGGTGTCAATGTAAAATGACGCTTTTTTTTTTGCATATATGCAGACAATATGTTTTGACCATAAATCAAGAAAATACAAAATAGTCAAAACACAGGTCGTGCACCCAAAAATTTAAAATATTTTGTAGTCTAATAACAGAGTTTCACGCTTAAATGATCTCAAATTTTAACAAAATATATAAAAACTAAGTTGGCTGTGAGGGCTTATCTCAATAAAACTCTACCAGGAAGATGGATCGGTCGTACCAGTGATAATGACAATATGATGTTGAAATGGCCACCACGCTCACCTGATTTATTTTTTCTATGCCGCTATATGAAAGGACTGGTCTATATCCCCCCTTTTCCTACAAGCCGAGAGTAACTTAAACAGAAAATCTCTGTGTTACTGGAAAATGCTACGCAAGACATGCTACAGCGTGTTTGGCAGGAGCTGGATTAAAGACTTGACGTGTGTCGTGTCACAGGTGATGCGCATATTGAACTTTTTTGAAGCTTTGTGAAATCGTTTATAAAAATTCCATCCCTTTCTATATCTTGTTCGAATTTTACGAAATAAATATTTTATTCTTCAACGTGAAGCCTGTTTAATTTCGTTTGCCTGGGACATGTAGTTACTCAGATATTAACATTTTAAATGATATCAACTCGTTTGGGACATACTGCATATTGAAAAAAAAGAAAGTGTCAGTTTAAACTGACACCGAGAGCATGTGAGTTAACTTAACGGCATGTTAGTAGTGGGAATTGTGTTAAAAGAAGATGAAAGTGTGGCACCGAGATCTGAAGTATGTATTGGACTAGCGAAAGGTTAATTCCAAAAGCTAAGCAGAGTATTGAGAAACAGAAAATGAATTCGTTAGAAACAAGGAGTCTAGGATTGCTAAGTGATATCCACCCTCTTTTACAGCAGTAAAGGCTGGGCAATTTGCCCACGGATGAAGAGAAAACTAGAAGCAACAGAAATGTGGTTCTACAGAAGGATACTGAGGATTCTATAGACGAAGCGAATAAGCAATTAAACAATCTTAAAGAAAATGACAACAAAAAGAACACATACACTCAGAAACAGAAACAGACAGCTGAAACACATAATGAAGAAAGAGGGCTTGGAAAACTTGACGCACATAGGACTTTTGATTTGGATTTTGTTTGTTTTACGGCATATCAAACTTAATAGTTGCTGGTAATAAGCTTTTACCAAAAATGCATTGCTGGTATTAAAACCTATCTTTACACCCCAGTTTGGCGGTCAGCTATTTGCCCATATCTGGGACCCTAACAGGTGCTACCACTCTGGGTCAGAGGCTTTGCTGTTGGATATAGTTCATCGTCTGACCCAGGACGCAGGACTTTTGAGGATAAGAGAAACAGGGGAACTGCTAAAGAATTAAAGAAAGCTGTGGAGGGCCATGATCGTCTATATTCTGAAACGACGCGATACATAGAAAACGACGATGGGCAGGTTTAATGTCGAATATGTGTCATATAGGACAATAAAAGCACGATCAATTAACAAAACGCAGCTATAGTTTCACCTTGGAGTCAAAACGTTAATGCTGTCACGTGAAAGAGACTCCCGAGGGGGTGCTTCCCTGCCATTGCAATCTTAACCTCTTCTAGGGACAACCGATATCTGTTCTACATATCACCACTTTGTTCATCCTACTCCCTTCACATTCTTACAAAAATCTCATTCACTAACTTGAGTGGATCTTGGGCCTTTTATTAGGGGAACAATAATAAAGTTGCCCGGCTATGCAATAGGTGACCAAGAAAGTGTTCTTTTTTAGGGAGGGGCTTTTTCATTTTTCTGAAGGCTTCTTACTTGTTAACGCGCCTCCTGGGTAAGACGATAAACTACATCCGCGTCCTGGGTAAGTCGATAAACTACATCCGCGTCCTGGGTATGACGATAAATTACATCCGTGTCCTGGGTAAGACAATAAACTCCATCAGGCAGCAAAACCTCTGATCAGGAGGTTTTGAGGAGCGTGGAATCACCTCTTAATTTCTGGTGTTCCCAGGTCCATTATGAGCCGGGGTGGTAGCACCTGTTAGGGTCCCAGCTATGGGCAAATAGTTAACCCACAAACTGGGGTCAGAACGTGTAAAAATAGGTTTTAATACCAGCAATACATTTTTGTTAAAAATTATTACCAGCAATAATTTTTTGAAGAAAAAATGATTACCAGTAATATATTTGTTATAGCGTACCTATGGACTATAATGGGTAAACCCCAATCCTTGTAAATACAGTGGAATATACTGAATGTTGGATTCACTTCCAAATATGCTGGTGAAACTCTCTGCCTCCGTGCAGAGAGGAACCCAGACAAGGCTGTGTCAAAGGGCAGAGTCTCGTCTGGGGTGGTAAACAGCTACCGACACTGTTTTTTTTGTGGGGTCTATGGGGAATTTCTGCCTGAGCTTACGGACCTGGATACCCCACAATAAACTTGGCCTTGTGCCCATCCTACCACGTGGGGCGGTAGGAGAATAATTAACTTGGATTCACTTACAAGTGGTACTGGTCAAATTCTATGCCTCCAGGCAGTGCGGAACCCAGACGAGGCTATGTCGGAGGGGCAGTCTCTCGTCTGGGGATTGTAGACAGCTACCCGACCCCATGTATATGGGGCCTACGGGGAATCTTTGCCCGGGTCTACGGGCTTGGTTCACCCCACATTAAATTCGGCCTTGTGCTACATCTGACCGCGTGGGGAGGTTAGTGAATATCTTCACTGTGGCATTCACCTTAATTCACTTCTAGCTCGCCAGCAGTAGTCGATTACTTACTGCGCGCCGCTGGCAAATCTTGTATGCTGTTTCTGTTATAAATATTACCATTCCATTTTCAACCTTCGTTTTGGTTATTCTTATTCAGGAAGCTAGGTTAGCAAGAAAGATTTTTGAAAAAAAATATTACCAGTAATACATTTTTTATCATTCCTGTCGGGGAAAATTTGTAAAATCGTTCTCTCAAAACTGTTTTTTGAAGAAAAACGTTATAGCTTATTCAAATACAGAGTGTCCAGAAAGATCGTGTGTACTTTCAAAAATTTATTACTTTATTTATAGTTGCGATAGAAATAATCCATAAAAATGTTATAAAGTTTAATGTACCTAGTTTTAAGTCTAGCTAAAATAACTAATGTGATTTCAGGCATTACTGCAAATCAGTTGGCAAATGTTTTCTGTGAACTGCAAAATCGTATTACCCTTTGTATTGCTGATGATGGAGGACATATGGAAACTTAAATAAAATTTCTATAAAACCTTAAAAAATATAGATTTACTTCTTTCTAATCCTTTTTTACAAATTATTTCTCTGGCAAAGGCAAGGAGAATTTTGTAAAGTGGGTTTTTGTCGAGTGTCTAGTTTCTTTGATGCATTCTTTTGTAGAAAAACTGATTTTATTGACATTTTTATTTGCTTTATATTTAAAAATCTATTGTTGCTTCTTTTATTATAAAAATGTCCTGTTGATTTTTGTTGGAGTAGGTCACTATTTGCCCATAGCTGGGACCTTAACAGGTGCTACCACCCCAGGACAGGGTGAACCTGGGAACAACAGCAATTAAGAAGTGGTTCCACGCTCCTGAAAACCTCCTGATCAGAGGCCTTGATGCCGGACGTAGTTTATCGTCATACCCTGAACGAGAAAAGCTTAAGGAAAAGTTGAAGAAACAAGTGATAATAAAAAAATAAATTCTTCCTCTCAGAATCTGTAAATAAAAGTTAAAGAAAACTGACAAAGAGAAATATGTCTGGCTTTTTAACTGTCATGTTCTTTTGCTAGTAACATATACAACGTGATGGTGTTGTATTCGTCATGTGTAGTAAATAAGGGCCTTCTTGGAATGGGAACATATCAATGGTCGACACTTTAAAGCAAATTCTTATGCCAGATGTTACAGAGTCGGCTTCTCATATGGTTAGTCAGCCAACAAATAAAATAAGCAAGGAGCATATATATATATATATATATATATATATATATATATATATATATAGAGAGAGAGAGAGAGAGAGAGAGAGAAACTGAAACACGCATGGAAATCGACCAAACTCCATTCGCAACATACTCCTAGAAAATACAACTAAAATAGCCTAATACA